CCGGGAAACCGGGAAGCACCGGGAAACCGGGAAACCGGGAAACTGGGAAACCGGGAAACCGGGATACCGGGATACCGGGAAACCGGGATACCGGGAAACTGGGATACTGGGAAACCGGGAAACTGGGAAACCGAGATACCGGGAAACCGGGAAACCGGGAAACCGGGAAACTGGGAAACCGGGAAACCGGGATACCGGGATACCGGGAAACCGGGAAACCGGGATACCGGGAAACTGGGATACCGGGAAACCGGGAAACTGGGAAACCGGGATACCGGGAAACCGGGAAACACCGGGAAACCGGGAAACCGGGAAACTGGGAAACCGGGAAACCTGGAAACCGGGAAACCGGGATACCGGGACATAGGGAAATCGGGAAACCGAGATACCGGGATACCGGGATACCGGGAAACCGGGATACCGGGAAACTGGGATACCGGGAAACCGGGAAACTGGGAAACCGGGATACCGGGAAACCGGGAAACGCCGGGAAACCGGGAAACCGGGAAACTGGGAAACCGTTAAACCGGGAAACCGGGAAACCGAGATACCGGGACATAGGGAAATCGAGAAACCGAGATACCGGGATACCGGGCTACCAGGATACCGGGATACCGGGATACCGGGAAACCGGAAAACCGGGAAACCGGGAAACCGGGATACCGGGAAACTGGGATACTGGGAAACCGGGATACCGGGATACCGGGAAACCAGGATACCGGAATACCGGGATACTGGGATACCGGGAAACCGGGAAAACGGGAAACCGGGAAACGGGGAAACCGGGAAACCGGGTAACAGGGATACCGGGAAACCGGGATACCGAGACATAGGGAAACCGGGATACCGGGATACCGGGATACCGGGGTACCGGGATACCGGGATACCCGGATACCGAGATACCGGGATACCGGGATACCGGGAAACTGGGATACCAGGAAACTGGGATACCGGGATACCGGGATACCGGGATACCGGGAAACCGGGAAACCTGGAAACCGGGATACTGGGAAACTGGGAAAACGGGAAACCGGGAAACTGTGAAACTGGGAAACCGGGATACCGGGAAACCGGGATACCGGGACATAGGGAAACCAGGAAACCGGGATACCGGGAAACCGGGAAACCGGGATACCGGGAAACCGGGATACCGGGAAACCGGGAAAACGGGATACCGGGATACCGGGATACCGAGATACCAGGAAACCGGGAAACCGGGAAACCGGGATACCGAGATACCGGGATACCGGGATACCGGGATACCGGGAAACCGGGAAACCGGGAAACCGGGATACCAGGAAACCGGGAAACAGGGATACCACGATACCGGGAAACCGGGAAACCGGGATACCGGGAAACCGGGATACCGGGAAACCAGGAAACTGGGAAACAGGGATACCGGGAAACCGGGAAACACCGGGAAACCGGGAAACCGGGAAACTGGGAAACCGGGAAACCGGGATACCGGGAAACCAGGATACCGGGACATAGGGAAACCGGGAAACCGAGATACCGGGATACCGGGCTACCGGGATACTGGGAAACCGGGAAACCGGGAAACGGGGATACCGGGATACTGGGATACCGGGATACCGGGATACCGGGAAACCGGGAAACAGGGATACCGGGATACTGGGAAACCGGGAAACCGGGATACCGGGAAACCGGGATACCGGGAAACCGGGAAACTGGGAAACCGGGATACCGGGAAACCGGGAAACACCGGGAAACCGGGAAACCGGGAAACTGGGAAACCGGGAAACCGGGATACCGGGAAACCGGGATACCGGGACATAGGGAAATCGGGAAACCGAGATACCGGGATACCGGGCTACCGGGATACCGGGATACCGGGATACCGGGAAACCGGGAAACCGGAAAACCGGGAAACCGGGATACCGGGATACCGGGATATTGGGAAACCAAGATACTGGGAAACCGGGAAAACGGGAAACCGGGATACCGGGACATAGGGAAACTAGGAAACTGGGATACCGGGAAACCGGGAAACCGGGAAACCGGGATACCAGGAAACCGGGATACCGGGACATAGGGAAACCGGGAAACCGGGATACCGGGGAACCGGGATACCGGGAAACCAGGATACCGGGAAACCGGGAAAACGGGATACCGGGATACCGGGATACCGGGAAACCGGGAAACCGGGAAACCGGGAAACCGGGATACCGGGATACCGGGATACCGGGATACCGGGATACCGGGATACCGGGATACAGGGATACCGGGAAACCGGGAAACCGGGAAACCGGGAAACCGGGAAACCGGGAAACCGAGATACCGGGACATAGGGAAATCGAGAAACCGAGATACCGGGATACCGGGCTACCAGGATACCGGGATACCGGGATACCGGGAAACCGGGAAACCGGAAAACCGGGAAACCGGGAAACCGGGATACCGGGAAACTGGGATACTGGGAAACCGGGATACCGGGATACCGGGAAACCAGGATACCGGAATACCGGGATACTGGGATACCGGGAAACCGGGAAAACGGGAAACCGGGAAACGGGGAAACCGGGAAACCGGGTAACAGGGATACCGGGAAACCGGGATACCGAGACATAGGGAAACCGGGATACCGGGATACCGGGATACCGGGGTACCGGGATACCGGGATACCCGTATACCGAGATACCGGGATACCGGGATACCGGGAAACTGGGATACCAGGAAACTGGGATACCGGGATACCGGGATACCGGGAAACCGGGAAACCTGGAAACCGGGATACTGGGAAACTGGGAAAACGGGAAACCGGGAAACCGTGAAACTGGGAAACCGGGATACCGGGAAACCGGGATACCGGGACATAGGGAAACCGGGAAACCGGGATACCGGGAAACCGGGAAACCGGGATACCGGGAAACCGGGATACCGGGAAACCGGGAAAACGGGATACCGGGATACCGGGATACCGAGATACCGGGAAACCGGGAAACCGGGAAACCGGGATACCGAGATACCGGGATACCGGGATACCAGGATACCGGGAAACCGGGAAACCGGGAAACCGGGATACCAGGAAACCGGGAAACAGGGATACCACGATACCGGGAAACCGGGAAACCGGGATACCGGGAAACCAGGAAACTGGGAAACAGGGATACCGGGAAACCGGGAAACACCGGGAAACCGGGAAACCGGGAAACTGGGAAACCGGGAAACCGGGATACCGGGAAACCAGGATACCGGGACATAGGGAAACCGGGAAACCGAGATACCGGGATACCGGGCTACCGGGATACTGGGAAACCGGGAAACCGGGAAACGGGGATACCGGGATACTGGGATACCGGGATACCGGGATACCGGGAAACCGGGAAACAGGGATACCGGGATACTGGGAAACCGGGAAACCGGGATACCGGGAAACCGGGATACCGGGAAACCGGGAAACTGGGAAACCGGGATACCGGGAAACCGGGAAACACCGGGAAACCGGGAAACCGGGAAACTGGGAAACCGGGAAACTGGGATACCGGGAAACCGGGATACCGGGACATAGGGAAATCGGGAAACCGAGATACCGGGATACCGGGCTACCGGGATACCGGGATACCGGGATACCGGGAAACCGGGAAACCGGAAAACCGGGAAACCGGGATACCGGGATACCGGGATATTGGGAAACCAAGATACTGGGAAACCGGGAAAACGGGAAACCGGGATACCGGGACATAGGGAAACTAGGAAACTGGGATACCGGGAAACCGGGAAACCGGGAAACCGGGATACCAGGAAACCGGGATACCGGGACATAGGGAAACCGAGAAACCGGGATACCGGGGAACCGGGATACCGGGAAACCAGGATACCGGGAAACCGGGAAAACGGGATACCGGGATACCGGGATACCGGGAAACCGGGAAACCGGGAAACCGGGAAACCGGGATACCGGGATACCGGGATACCGGGATACCGGGATACCGGGATACCGGGATACCGGGATACCGGGAAACCGGGAAACCGGGAAACCGGGAAACCGGGAAACCGGGAAACCGGGAAACCGGGAAACCGGGAAACCGGGAAACCGGGAAACCGGGAAACCGGGATACCGGGACACCGGGACATAGGGATACCGGGATACCGGGATACCGGGAAACCGGGAAACCGGGAAACCGGGAAACCGGGAAACTGGGATACCGGGACATAGGGAAACCGGGAAACCGGGAAACCGGGATACCGGGATACCGGGAAACCGGGAAACCGGGAAACCGGGATACCGGGAAACCGGGAAACCGGGAAACCGGGAAACCGGGAAACTGGGAAACCGGGATACTGGGATACCGAGAAACCGGGAAACCGGGATACCGGGAAACCGGGATACCGGGATACCGGGATACCGGGAAACACCGGGAAACCGGGAAACCGGGAAACCGGGATACGGGGATACCGGGATACCGGGATACCGGGAAACCGGGAAACCGGGAAACCGGGATACCGGGAAACCGGGATACCGGGATACCGGGAAACAGGGAAACCGGGATACCGGGATACCGGGAAACCGGGAAACCGGGAAACCGGGATACCGGGAAACCGGGATACCGGGATACCGGGAACCCGGGAAACCGGGATACCGGGAAACCGGGAAACACCGGGAAACCGGGAAACCGGGAAACCGGGAAACCGGGATACCGGGAAACCGGGAAACCGGGAAACCGGGAAACCGGGAAACCGGGAAACCGGGATACCGGGATACCGGGAAACCGGGAAACCGGGAAACCGGGAAACCGGGAAACTGGGAAACCGGGAAACCGGGAAACCGGGATACGGGATACCGGGATACCGGGATACCCCACCCAGCTGCGTTCCCAGGCTGCCCATGTTGCTTGCGAGTCCACTCAAAAGCCAGCAGCACTGCAACCCCAGGCGTGCCTCTCACCGTGTTCTTGTCAAACACCTCCACGTGCATCTTCTGGGTAGCCGGATCGAGCACTTTGAGTCGCAGCTCCTCGTCCCCCCAGTCGGGGTTGAGGTCATTGTCCCTCACACTGGACTCGCGGCTGCCCAGGCTGCTCGTGAGGTAGAAGTGCAGGTAGGGATCGCTCGTGCCCACCAGGCCCTGGTTGCGCAGATTGGAGGCGCGCATGGCGGTTATTGTTAGCCATCCGACCGCCAACCTGGGGTTTGGAGAAGGGCGCACGAGGCACGGGTGCAGGGACAGGAAACAGCATATGACGCCAGTGGCTGCTGGTGAGGTAAAAGTGCAGGTAGGGGTCGCTGGTGCCCACCAGGCCCAGGTTGCGCAGATTGCTGGCTCGCATGGCGCCGATGGTCAGCCACCCCACCGCCAACCTGGGGAGGGGGTCGGGAGGCAGGACGCAGGCGTCAAGACGTAGGGGCAAGGAGCCAGGGGTATGGGGGCAGAGGACAGGGAGCAGGGAACACGACATGGAGCAGATGGTTGGGGGTGCGGTTCGATGCGTGCATGGCGCTCATCGCCAGCCACCCCACTGCTAACCTGTGCCGCTCAGGGGCATGGGGGCAGGGGGCAGAGGGCAGAAACAGAGAGCAGGAAGCAGGAGGCGGCACACACAGCACATGGGTGAAAAGGAGGGGGCAGAGGCGGTACCATCAGGAGCAAGCATGTGTAGAATTTCGTCTGAGGCGCCTAAACTTTTCGGAGACAGCATGGGTTCAAAAGTGAGACTCACTTGGGCTCCTCGTGATACAGCTCGATGGTCTTGGGCCATAGGTACAGGTCCGCTATGGGGGCAGGAAAGAGGTCAGTGTGGGCTGGACCATGGGTGATGTGATGTGAAGCGGTGAAAGAGGCACTCACTTGAGAGAGCACGGGTGTGAGAGGGGGTCACTCACTTGGGCTCTTCGTGATACAGCTCGATGGTCTTGGGCCATAAATACAGGTCTGCTATGGCGTCTGATATCAGATTCTGAGGTGCCATGATGGCATGGGGATGGGCGTGGGGAGGATGGGGGTGGGGAAGGGAGTGGGCATGAGCATGGTCTTGGGCTATGGCTATGGTCCGCTATGGCATCTGATATCAGATTCTGATGGGTGAGGCTGGTCGGTGTGAGAGTGGGAATGGGAAAGGTGACGACATGGGGATGGGGATGAGGATGGGGGTGGGGATGGGGGGATGGGAGAAAAGGGAGTTATAAAGGCCTTGGCCAGAACCAGGACCTGGCATGTCAAAACATGATATTCACAAAGCATGTAAGGATAGTACCATCTATGCATGGGGCACAAGTCATGGGGCATGCTGCATGCACGGGGCATGCGGCACAGAGGATGGGGCACACGCAATTTGGGCAAGAGATATGGGCATGGGGCATGGGCATGAGACATGGGCACAAGGCATGGGGCATAGGCATGAGACATGGGCACAAGGCATGGGGCATGGGGCATGAGGTACACCTGGGCGAGGTTGGAGAGGCCGGGGATGGCCATAATATCGAGTCCCAGCACTCGTAGCGCGAAGTCCACGTGGGGCTGAAGGTGGTGTTGGTGCGTGGGGGCAGGGGAAGGGAGGATAGGGGGAGAGTGCGGTGTTGGTGTGGGTCAGAGTGGCCATAATGTCCACGTAGAGCGGTAATGTCCAGTCCCAGCACTCGTAGAGCCAAGTCCACGTGGGGTTGGTGGTGGTGGTGCAGTGGAGGGGTGGGGGGATGTGAGGATAGGAGGTGAGAGCGGGGTTGCAGAGGCCCGGGATGGCCATGATATCGAGTCACACCCAGCACCCGTAGAGCAAAGTCCACATGGGGCAGAACGTGGCGGTGCGTTCAGTGGGCATGGGGAGGATGGGACGTCGGAGGGAGGGGGAGGAGGAGTTGAGAGCAAGGTTGACGTGGGTCTGAACGGGAGCAAGGCGAGTAGCAGCAGTGGGTAGGTGAAGGACATGGGTGCTGTCAGCACTCGCCTTGGCCATTGTGACGATGCACCCGCCGTGTTCCTAACCCAGCATGGCCCACCTTATCCTTGCGCATAAGCGCCCCTCGCGCACCTTATCCATGAGCGCGAGCGTGATGCGTGAGAAGCAGGGGAAGACTTTTGAGACGTCTCAAAGGCCACCCACCCACCTGTGCATGAGCGCCCCCCCCCTGACTTGCCTTGTCCATGAGCGCCCCCCCCTGACTTGCCTTGTCCATGAGCGCCCCCCCCTGACTTGCCTTGTCCATGAGCGCCCCCCCCTGACTTGCCTTGTCCATGAGCGCCCCCCCCTGACTTGCCTTGTCCATGAGCGCGAGCGTGATGCGGGAGAAGCAGGGGAAGACTTTTGAGGCGTCTCAAAAGCCACCCACCCACCCACCTGTGCATGAGCGCCCCCCCCCTGACTTGCCTTGTCCATGAGCGCGAGGGTGATGCGCGAGAAGCAGGGGAAGACGGGCACGAGTGGCTTCACTGTTATGCGCGCCACTGCCCTCACATGCAGGTCCGTTAGCTGGATCAAGGATGCGGATGAGGGATGGGACATGGGGGACGGCGAATGAGAAATGGGGCACAGGGCATGGGGAATGGTGAAATGCGCGGCAGGGAAGGTCTTCTATATTGCAGAGTTGGGGTCCTGCCCTCATGGGGTTACAAGTAACAAGTAGAAACTCTGTATCATAACATGTGCGAACATACGAGGGGAGCAGCAGGGAACACGGGAGCATGGGGGCATGGGAGCACGGGAGCATGTGAGAGAGAACAACTAGCATGTGGGACCGCACCTGGAGCGAGAGGTTAAAGCCGTGCAGGGAGGCGGTAACAGCGATGTTGTTGTTGGCCGCCCACCGCATGACGGGCTGGATGATCACCTCGTCGTCATGCGTCTCCAGGGACTTGATGGCTGGTGGTGGGGGCGAGTAGGGGTGGCAAGTGGCAAGTGGCAGGTGGTGAGGGATAGCAGCAAGGGCAGCGGCCCAGCGGGCTGAATGATCACCTCGTCGTCGTGTGTCTCCAGGGACTTGATGGCTGCTTGTGGGGGCGTGGTGGGGGTTTTGTTGTGAGAGCGGAGGAGAGTTCGTGAGAGCTGGTGACATGGGATATGGGGAGAAGCTCCGCTGCATGCCGGGCTGGATGATCACCTCGTCATTGTGTGTTTCCAGAGACTTGAAGGCTGGTGGTGGGGGGGCGGTGTGAGAGCGGATGAGAGTTAGTGATAAGGGGGAATGATACACCGCATGACGGGCTGGATGATCACCTCGTCGTCGTGTGTCTCCAGAGACTTGATGGCTGGTTGGGGGGGGCGAGTAGGGGTGGGGGATGGGGGTTGTGCGAGGTGATGGGAGTTGGCAGCGCTTCTGATGGCTGCTTGTGGGTGCGAATGGGGGTAAGGGATGGGCGTTGGCAGCGCATGACGGGCGGGATGATCACCTCATCATCGTGCGTCTCCAGAGACTTGATGGCTGGTGGGGGGGTGATGGGGGGAGTTGAAAGGGGAAGGGAAGAGGGGAGGAGGGCGCTGGGTGTGGTGCGGTGAGTAGCGTGGGTGATAGTAGCAGGTGGCGTGGGACGGAGGGGGTCATCATGCGTCTCCAGGGAGGGACTTCATGGCTGCCGGGGGGTTAATCACATGGGTGGGTGCGACGGAAATTGTGTCATGACGTAAGTAAGCATGGGCATGGTGGGTGGGATGGCATGGCATGGCATGGAGTGGGATGGGGATAACAAGGGTTGCGACGTGATGTCCTTTGTGCCATGAGTGACTTGCCTTGCCGGTGCGGTTTAATGATGATGATAGAAGGGGGTTAAAGAGAGGGGCACGCTCCAATGATGGCGGGCGGCAGGGGGCCGAGGGAGAAGTGCGAGAAGGCGAGGGAGTGCAGGAAGGCGGGCTTGTTGTCAAGCAGAAGAGGCGTCACGTCCCTCTGCACCGCCTCTGATACCGCCTGGTGGGAGAGAGAGGGGAGATGCGGTGTGTATGAGCGGTTTGGGGGAGAGGGGTTCGGAAGACATAGTGTTGGATGGTGTCACGCAGAAGAGGTGTCACGTCCCTCTGCACCGCCTCTGATACCGCCTGGTGCGGGAGAGATCGGCAAGAGGGGAGAAGTGGTGAGGTTGGGAGTGGTGTAAGGCAAAGAGGCAGTGAGGGGTACAGCAGCGGCTGAGCAGAGGTATCACGTCCCTCTGCACCGCCTCTGATACCGCCTGGTGGGGGAAGAGTGGCGAGGGCGGGAAACGGAGAGTTGGTGGGGTAACGGGGAGGGGCTGAGTAGAGGTGTCACGCCCCTCTGCACCGCCTCTGATACCGCCTGGTGGGGGAGAGAGGGGGGAGAGGGAGGAGAGGAGTGACGCAGAGAAGCAAAGGAGCCACCCTCTTCCTCATTCTCTCTGTGCCCGGCTAGAAAAAATAATAAAGGACGACTGAAAACAGAATGATAAGCAGTGGCACGTGCACCATACACCATGCGAAGGAAAAGCATAGAGCAAGTGGGTGGGTGAGAGGGAGAGAGGGTGAGTGGTTTGAGGGGCGCAGAGCACACCTTGTTACCATACAGCTACAGCTATGTGTGAGGCACATAAAACAAAAGGCGCACCTTGTTGACATAGGGCCACATCTCTGCCACTATTCGATTCAGCCAGTCCACCTGCCGTGCGGGGGAGAGGGACGAGTGCACGGGGAGGGGAGAGTGAGAGGGGAGCGAGGGTGGTATGGGGAGCGAGGGTGGTATGGGGAGCGAGGGTGGTATGGGGAGCGAGGGTGGTATGGGGGCGAGGGTGGTATGGGGATCGAGGGTGGTATGGGGAGCGAGGGTGGTATGGGGAGCGAGGGTGGTATGGGGAGCGAGGGTGGTATGGGGAGCGAGGGTGGTATGGGGGCGAGGGTGGTATGGGGATCGAGGGTGGTATGGGGAGCGAGGGTGGTATGGGGAGCGAGGGTGGTATGGGGATCGAGGGTGGTATGGGGAGCGAGGGTGGTATGGGGAGCGAGGGTGGTATGGGGATCGAGGGTGGTATGGGGATCGAGGGTGGTATGGGGAGCGAGGGTGGTATGGGGATCGAGGGTGGTATGGGGATCGAGGGTGGTATGGGGAGCGAGGGTGGTATGGGGATCGAGGGTGGTATGGGGATCGAGGGTGGTATGGGGATCGAGGGTGGTATGGGGATCGAGGGTGGTATGGGGATCGAGGGTGGTATGGGGATCGAGGGTGGTATGGGGATCGAGGGATGCATGGGGAGCGAGGGTTGTATGGGGGACACTAGGTCGGATAAGAAGGCACACTGCGACACACTTACCAGCCACAGCAACAATGAATAAAGCCACATTGACCTTCCCTACCCATGGACCTCCCACCACTGACTGCCTCCCCCCAGCGCCCACCACACGCACCCGCTCATGGGTGCTACCCGCTCATAGTCGCGCTCACCCGCTCATAGTCGCGCCCACCCGTTCATAGTCGCGCTCACCCGCTCATAGTCGCGCCCACCCGTTCATAGTCGCGCTCACCCGCTCATAGTCGGGGTTGCTGACCCACGGCGGCAGGTGCACGAAGAACCTTCTCAGCGCCTTCTCGTCCAGCCCCTCCGCTGGCGCCGCGCGCTGCTCCACCTCCTGCCCCGCGCGCGCGCGCGCAGGGGGGTGGGCGGGGCATTGAGGGGGGGAAGGGGGAAGGAAGGGAGCTGCGCATTGACGGAGAGAGACGCACAGTTGACGACGACGAAAGAAGCACCTTCACGACGACAGGCGTAACTTGACGGCGAGACGGTACCTTAATGGCCAGAACGGTAACCTAACGGCTAGCAGGCTACCTTGACGGTGAGCGGCAGCGGGTAGATGAGGAAGAGGTAGGCGGCAGCGAAGCCGGCGAGGAGGCCGACGAGGAAGACGAGCGCGGAGAGCGCGTAGCCCACCAGCTCCAGCGACGCCGCGAAGCGCAGCGCGCCCACCGGCACGCGCAGCAGCAGCTCCGCCACCGACATTTCCGCTGGCGTTGACGCGTTGACTTCTAAGTCTGACTTAGAGAAGCAGTTGCACCACCGACATGAGGCGCGCTGACGTTGAATTCCTAGTCGACTAGCAAAAGGGCTTTCGGCACTGCCATGTCTGCTGACGTTGCTCGCGCGGCTCGCGGCGATTACGAGACGCGCGGATTGCGGAATACGCGTGGCAAATTCGATGGTAGTAACGGCTGCGATGGTTAGTAGGTAACCGAAGCGCGTTGTGAGCAGGTGTCAGCTACCGTTTACGCAGTTTCCGCAGTTGCGAACACAGCTCGAGGTGCAAAGCGGTCCTTGCTGTGGAAGGAAGGACATTCTGAATCAAATAACCAGTAGATATTATAGGTTGGATGACAAAGATAAACTAGAACATAACTACTAGGTGACCATTCAATGACCTTTCATATATTCAGTTGAAATGAGAACAATGTCAATTGATCAGAACAATAAAACAAGATTTCTAAATACAAATACAGTATGCACTACAAGCCGGTGTCATCATTCAGCATTGTAGCTTACATGAAGAGCCCCTGGATGGATGCAGAGAAGAAGATACTAATTCCCCCCCCAAACAAAAAGGGCTACACTGGCCATACTGCCTTGGGAGCAATCCCTCATGTTCTACTGTGCGGACCACAGCATCATGTGTTGCCACAGCGTTGCATGCCACACAGTACACCACCACTCCAGACCATCACTAGTGCTCCCCACCATCACCACTCTGGGTTCCTGTGTCAAACTGCCTTGCCTCAGCCTGGGGGCATTGAAGGCAGGCAAAGGCAGAGGACAAAGGTTCCTGTGACCCTGCCTTGCCTCAACCAGAGGATTTCAACCCCCCTCTCTTGCCTCCCACAATCTTGAGGCTGCGTTTCATCCTCCTTTCCCAGCCCTGCGGAGGTGGTGGGGAATGGTGACAGAAGGTGACGGTGGGAGTGATGGTGGTGCATCACACTCAGCACCACTCACACTCACACTCACGTTCAGCACCACTCACACTCACAACCACCACCGCTTCAGGGTTGCATGCGAGAGTCGCACGCGAGGGGTGCATGCGAGGGGTGCATGCGAGGGGTGCATGCTAGGGTTGCATGCGAGGGGTGCATGCGTTCCATTCACTTACCCTTGGGGATTCAGCCCCCCTCACTTACCGCACGCACATACACTGCACCGCACGCCCATACACTGCACCGCACGCCCATACACTGCACCGCACGCCTATACACTGCACCGCACGCCCATACACTGCACCGCACGCACATACACTGCACCGCAAGCACATACACTGCACCGCATGCACACCCACTGCACCGCACACACATAAACTGCACCGGACCCACTCCCACTTCTCAACAAACCCTGCCTCAGCTTGCTCTCATACAACCGGTGGCATAAGTGCCATACGGCTCATCACGTGCCACCAGCAAAGCATGAGCATCATGGTCTCATGCAACAGGTGGCATCAGTGCCCTAGGGCTCATCCCTTGCCACCCAAATGAGCATCATGGTCTCATGCAACAGGTGGCATCAGTGCCCTAGGGCTCATCCCATGCCACCCAAATGAGCATCATGGTCTCATGCAACAGGTGGCATCAGTGCCCTAGGGCTCATCCCATGCCACCCAAATGAGCATCATGCTCTCATGCAACAGGTGGCATCAGTGCCCTAGGGCTCATCCCATGCCACCCAAATGAGCATCATGCTCTCATGCAACAGGTGGCATCAGTGCCCTAGGGCTCATCCCATGCCACCCAAATGAGCATCATGCTCTCATGCAACAGGTGGCATCAGTGCCCTAGGGCTCATCCCATGCCACCCAAATGAGCATCATGGTCTCATGCAACAGGTGGCATCAGTGCCCTAGGGCTCATCCCATGCCACCCAAATGAGCATCATGCTCTCATGCAACAGGTGGCATCAGTGCCCTAGGGCTCATCCCATGCCACCCAAATGAGCATCATGGTCTCATGCAACAGGTGGCATCAGTGCCCTAGGGCTCATCCCATGCCACCCAAATGAGCATCATGCTCTCATGCAACAGGTGGCATCAGTGCCCTAGGGCTCATCCCATGCCACCCAAATGAGCATCATGCTCTCATGCAACAGGTGGCATCAGTGCCCTAGGGCTCATCCCATGCCACCCAAATGAGCATCATGCTCTCATGCAACAGGTGGCATCAGTGCCCTAGGGCTCATCCCATGCCACCCAAATGAGCATCATGCTCTCATGCAACAGGTGGCATCAGTGCCCTAGGGCTCATCCCATGCCACCCAAATGAGCATCATGCTCTCATGCAACAGGTGGCATCAGTGCCCTAGGGCTCATCCCATGCCACCCAAATGAGCATCATGCTCTCATGCAACAGGTGGCATCAGTGCCCTAGGGCTCATCCCATGCCACCCAAATGAGCCTCAATGCCATACGGCTCATCATGTGCCACTGCCAACCCCACTGCCTCTCACCACCATCACCACACACCCCACCCTTCCCCTCCCCACCCTCACCTGCTAGCAGTAGGAGCAGAAGACAGCCCACCTCCTTCCGGAAACAGCACCCCCCGAGGCTATGCCTTGACGAACGGGGAGAGGTAGTGAAACATCGCTTCCAGCCCAAGACTCAAATCCCACCCCCGACGTAGCTAGAGCTGACGCGAACCAGAGCCGCCAGCCGGTCGGCTCTGACGGTGTCCATTAAGCTTTGAACGCCAGATCGGTTACTTGAGCACCGAGTGCCGTGCTGCAAAGATTCCACCCACCACACCCCACCCACAAGACACAACGCCAGAGCGTGCTGCCCCTAAGGGAGTGAACTCCCTGCTTGCTCCCTTGCTTCCCACCCACCCACCCACCCCACACTCCACCCCCACGCCTCCTTACCTGTCCTTACCTCCACCTACCAGAGCCATGCAGAGCGCCATGATGCCTCAGGCTGCTGGGAAGAGAGGGAGGCAGGGACCAAGGGAGAGCAGTGAGCACGAGGAGAAGAACAAGCAGAAGCGTGAAGGCAGGACAGGAGCAAGAAAAGAAAGGGAGCATTGGCAGAAGGAAAGCAGCAGCGTGAGTGAAGGAAAAAGCACACACAACTGCACTTTTGGCTGGGAGAGGTTAAGAGGCTCACCTTGTAAAGACAAACCATCCCGATACTCTCCCTTGCCATCCCAGCCGAGTGGAGTGGAGTGCTGCCCCCCTCCCCTCCCACCAAGTGACCTGGCAGTGGGCGCAAGGGACAGGAGAGGAGGGGCAGGAGGAATAGGTAAGTTGGCACTCAAGTAAACACAAGAGGACTAGAGTGGACAAAATAAAAGATGCAAATTGAAGAGAGGGAAATGAGACATCTGCAGAAGGGAGAGGAAAAGAGGCTCACCTTGTTTCAGACAACCCAGCCCGATACTCTCCCTTCCCACCCCAGCCGAGCAGAGTGCTGCCCCCCTCCCCTCCCACCACTGCCACCTGCACGGCCACAGGGGAGGGGCGCGAGGGAGCGGCAAGGAGGAAACTGAAGATGAGTGAGTAAGCGGATAGGGGCAGAAGAGTGAGCATGGGTGGGTTGGGTGGCAGATGAGAGCAGCAGGGGGACCACTGGAGCAGCGCTAAGCACATGGTGCAGACCCAAAGGTAGTGTGGGCTGTAGTAACCGTATTAGGCATAGGGTAGGCTTAACCTGGGGGCTGGAGAGGGGGGGATACCTGGTATAGGGGGTCTGCACCATGTGGGCTAGGCTGCTGCAAGTGGCTTGGGATGAAGGGAGGAGGCATGAAGCATGGATGGAAAGATGATGTGCAAATGCATGCGAGCGTGCATGCGTGATACAGAGACAAGGCACTGAAGTACTTATCTGGTGCGGCTGTGAGTGGCAGTGGCTGCCGTGCTGCAGCCACTGAAGCGCCTCACACCACCCAAAGGCGCTGCTGGGAGCGCTGGGAACTCGCCACCAGAGGGGCTGCTGGGGGATCGGCGGAGAGGTGAGCGGGGGGGAAGGGAGGAAGTGGATGGGGAGAGGAGGGGAGGAGGAGGGGGAGGAACAGGTAAGATGGCATCACCTGAAACACTCAATAAGCAGAAGAACACTAGAGTGGAATAAATCAATAATGCAAAAATTAAAGAGCGAGAAATGAGATATCAGAAGGGAGGGCAATTGAGGCTCACCTTGCTTCAGACGACCCAGCCCGGTACTCTCCCTTCCCACCCCAGCCGAGTGGAGTGCTGCCCCCCTCCCCTCCCACCACTGCCACCTGCACGGCCACAGGGGAGGAGCGCGAGGGAGCGGCGGTGTTGACCCCCACGCCCCTCCCCACAACGGAAAGGAGAGAACTGAAGAGAAGTGAGTATGCGGCTAGGGGTAGAAATATGAGAGGAGTGCATCGGTGGGGTGGGGTGGGATGGCAGGTGAGAGCAGAGAAGGGGGCCACTGGTGCAGCCTCAGCTACAAGCCACAGATCCAAGGGGGGTACACACCTGGGAGGCTTACCTGCAGACCTGAGAGTATACCTGTAATACCTGGGGGGATTTACCCAAGAAAAGGGGTCTGTGGCTTGATGCTTTGGCTCAACAAGAGGCTTGAATTTGAAGAGACAAGAAAACAGGAGATGCAGCAAGGATGAACGTGGAAAGCAAACGAACTCGAGAGAGATTGGGAGGAGAAAGTGAGGGCGGATACTTAGCTGTGGGTGGGTTGGGTGGAGAGCAGCTGCTGTTGCTCTCCATGTCCCCCGCCACTGCCACTCCCGTATGAGCGACCTGCTGGGACGACGGGGATTGGAGCAGAGAGAGGAAGGGAGGGAGGAGAGGACGGGGATGTGAAGGGCAATGAGAAAAGAAGGAACACAGGGCAGGGAGCATCAAGCGAAGTGAGCATGGGCAGAAAACCAAGCAGCAGCCTGAGTGAAGGAAGAACAGAAATTCGAGCATCTGTGGCAGGGAGGGGAAAAGAGGCTCACCTTGTGTCAGACGACCCAGCCCGATACTCTCTCTTGCCACCCCAGCCG